CTGAATGAAATTGCTCAATTATTGATTTTGGCACTTATTGAATTCAATTAAAGATGTTTGATTCTTCACACTTAATACCATCATTATGGATATTTGATTTTATAGTATATACATAAAAGTTGCATGGCTTATAGTTATGGTACGAATAGTTTGTTCCATATTAAAGTAAAGTTGAATTAGAAATGATTTGTGGTACATGGAAGGGATCATGTCGCTCGAAGACTTGTGACCGCCATGACTCGGTTAATTCTATTTTAATTTTAAACTTATAGATATATGTATTCAATCATAAGTTTGATGAAAGGTGCGCGCTTAAAGTAGTTCTTTTGGTTTCGACACTATATGGTCCAAGTGGGAGAATGTAATAATATTTATATTATTATATTATTGTGGACCATATAATTAGTTGGACCTAATTGAATTAATAGTCAAACTTTATTAAAGGTGAATATGTATTTAATGAATTATTTAATGTTCTAATATTAAAGAGTCCAATTTTTGATGTTTGACTTGGACAGTAAGTTAGGTTAGAACATGGGGAATGTTAGTAGGCATAGGTTTGTAGGACTCCTCCTATATTTACTACATGCCCCTCTCTCCCATCTCATACGAAAATAAAGTTCTCAACATCAAGGACTTTATGGAAAGACGAGAGACGCGGGAGAGAGAAACGATTCATAGGAAAAGATAAATCCATCATTGGAGATTACGAGAAAGATAGATCCATGAGATTACGAGGAAGAGATGGCAGATCAACATCATAGATCAAGAAAACAGGGAAGGACTATAAGCTGGATTCTTGTAAGTTCTATGTGCAATTTAATTTATGCAAAGATCCATATTCTATGAATTGATAGAATTACATGCGTAGGGTTTATTCAATTCCGCTTAATAGTTATGAATATGCCCGTTAAATTTCTTACAGATCAAGATGGACGGGTCACGGGATGTAACAGCATCTCCAATGACATATTGTTCTTTTCGTGTTGAATGACATGGAGGAGGGAGATTAACAAATTATGTCTCTTGGTTAATGTTAATTGTGGTATAATTTGACATGTGTAAAAGTATGACTGGTTAGAAAAAAAGAGAGAAAATAAACAAATATTATAATATATACTAGAAGTTGTTTAGAAATAATTTTACATTTAAAAAGTCTTTGAGACATTTTTATGCCACGTAGATTCTTTGTGTCATGTCGCAATAAAATAGATTAATCCACATACCACTAGAGATTCTCTAAAGAAGCACAAACTTTACTTTTACCAAGCTAGTTTACTAATAAAAGTGCATGTGACACATGATGCATTATTATTTTATAATTTCAAATTATATTTTATATGATTTATTTATTTATTTTAGGATTGTTATTTTTAAATAATCTAACAAAATGAGTATATTACATTGTGAATATTGCCAAATGTATTGAAAACTAAAACATAATTTATATATAATAATAATATTTAAAAGTTGTTGTACCCCAAAAGGACCGATCACAAGGAATGACAGTGACCCACGTTCTAATATCAAGTCTAAGTGAAAAACAAGGCCCATGACCTCAAAGATCACTCCACAATTGGCCCAAGCAATCACCAATAGGGCTGCCGATCTCTCGATCGTCACAACGGTCACCCGCGAAGCTTCTCGGTAAAAATGGACGATCACATTGATCGTCTGAATACGTCCTGATAAAGCTGGTAGCACCGCCTGACATGTTCCATAAAATTTTGCATGAAAACACGTGGCGCCGCCCTACGCCTCTAGCTAATACTCTTCATTTAATGCCGACACATTTTTGTGTATAACTATCAGCCCTCAACTTGCTCGGTTTTGCCGATTCTAGTCAGACTTTTAGTCCTTGCTTGATGATTTTGTTTGTTGCTTCGACCTATTGGTGTGAAATAACCATATTATGGCATTTCAAAACATTTAGAATTGAGTATTGTTGAAATGAAATACTTTATTGTGTGAGATTNCAACGCTAGAATAAAACACTCGCAACTAAAACTAACCAACTAAAACGACTAAAACAACTAACAACAACTGAAAGACCCCAATGGAGTAATACCCGAGTATCGGATCCCAAAAGGATAATAAGGTGACACTCGGGTTCACAGAGGCCAAATAGCCCAAACCAAAAACACAATCCTAAAGAAAAAAGCAATGAAACACAACCTAACACAACCATATAGCTAATAAGAAAATTGTGTGAGATTGTTGGAAAATATTATTCTGCTTTAATGACTGGTTATTTGATGTAAAGGAATTTATGATGTTACGTTTGTCAAAAGTTAGTTATTTTTATTTATTTTCGTTTATGCTTAATAATTATATTTTCATTATAAATTTTTTATCAGCGTGGGCAACATAAATATTGAAATACCTTTGTTTTCAAAATTAGAATGTTGATTTTTGGCTCACATATTGTTCAAATTCCGTTAACTCCCCTTTAAAATGTCATATTTACCTTTTTGAAAATCGCGGCGTTACATACAAAGATCTCCAATTAAAATAATTTCTTTATTAATTAAATAAAAATCAAAATTATAGAAATAAATATTTATCTTTTCTAAACGAAAAAAAACTACTAAACAAATTAATCTTTTTCTTTGAACAAAAAAAAAAGAGAGAATATTGAAAACATGGCTACACAATTTTCTCTTTAAGTAACTCAAAATTCGAAGGATTGGATATAAAGGGATGGCTACACAATTTTCTCTTTAAGTAACTCAAAATTCGAAGGATTGGATATAAAGGGATGCACTCTGATAAGAATGATGTTCAATCAAAAAAATAAGAATACATCACAAGCATCGTATTAGATAATCAAACGACTAAAAAAATGTCAATTTTTCACAACTATTAAGGGTAAACTAGCCATTCTCAATCCACATCACATTACAATCGTGGCTCACAAAACCTCACCACCCCTCCACTCTCTCTCTCTCTCTCACACACAAAACACACACTTATTCCACGCACAGACACACACATCACACAAAACACACACCTCCACACATACACAGGCCGTCTGTTCAGCCGCCGTCCACCGCCGGTACGCCTCCCGCACACCGGTCCAGTCGCCGCCGACTCACTTCTCCACCGTAGTCTTACCTGTACCCGACCTCGTCGTCCTCCCATCGGCTGCACCGGAGATCGCCACTGCACAGCCACAGCTCGACACGGCACAATCTGCAGTCTCCGACTTCGGAGTCAGCCGTGTAATGACCTGGACGAGATGAAATTAGCTACCTCCCGAAAATTTTGCCCTAATTATGGACTGGTTGGCCGCCCAAAATTCTCCGTCGCCCCTCTTATTGAGGTTGAATCAACAGCGGATCGTTTAAGAGACAAGCGACAGAGGTTGAGGATTAGACGCCATAAAATAGATCGTCGGCGGTGAGGATATCCGGCTGCGGCTGTTGGTCGAATTTCGAAGGGAGGGGATTTGGATCCGGCAGCGAAATTTCAGCGATTGGCGCTCGTCCACGGCAATCCCGTCCAACAAATTCGGTTGTCGATGCCGACAATCGCGGTGGTGACGACGACGGAGCGGACAATTACGAGGCAGAGGGCGGCCATGATCGAAGCTCCTGCGGACGACGTATACAGACAAGTGGGGAGGTGGTTCAACTGATTGGGCTTACATTTGAAGATTAGACACATGTCAAGGACTTATGTGCAATTCTATCAGTTTTATTATATTGCAATTTAATCAATGTGTTCAATTTGTAATTTATAAAAAATTAAATAAATACACATTAATAATAATCAAAATGCACGGTTATGTACGTATATGAATGTTAAAAAATATATACTGAAGAATGCACAACAGAGTTATGTTAACTGCACATTAACGATTTAGAAAATGCACATTATTGTAGCGGTATATTATGGGTGATGATCATTAACAATATCCTTGATCGAAACAATCGCAATAAAAAATTTTGATTTGTTTTTTATGTCGGTTCGATTATTGAATTTTACTTTTAATTTATTTGCTATCTCAGCTTGAGTTGGTATTTTCTTTAATATTATATATATAATAATATAAGACATTGAATAAATATTAAAACACTATATATGCACATTAGTGAAACGAGATTGCACCCTGTTACGCTATTGTGCATTTATAGATATATTATTGTGCATTTCCACATGTAATAAAGTGCATTTAACATACCGTTATCCTGCATTATATAATGAGAATATGAATGTGCAAAATCTAGACGTACATAATAATAATAATAACAATAATAATAATAATAATAATAATAATAATAAATAAATAAATAAATCCCAAATTGGCTCCAATAAAAATTTTGGGTTTGTTTGAAATAGTATTAATTTAGATCTTATATATAATGATAAAAATATTAAAATAATAAATATGCGCATTAATGACTATGAGATTACACTTTGTTAGCTTTGCATTTACAAATGTAAATATTGTGCACTTACACATGTAATAATGTGCATTTAATTTGGCGTTGTCGTGCATTATGAATCGTGAACATTTTTTAATTTCGTAATAATGTGACGAGTTTCTTAATGTGCGTGTTATTATACAATATTTTGCATTTTATGTATTATTATTGTGCATGATTTGAATTTTATAAAAATTACATATTTACCTCAAGTACTAAGTGCAATATATTAAAACTTATAAAATTACAATTAAGTCCTATATGTTTACCTAATTTTCACTCAAAAAACCACCCAAAATATAAATTTGGTGTAATTGAGGCTTTATTGCCATCCGCAAATCGGTCTCTCAAACCAGAAGAAGACAAGAGGAACTGCCATCTGAAAATTGATCTATTCTAGAGGTAAGCTACCGGCGCTGATTCAGGCGAACGTCATAGCCGTCATCGCCGAGACTCGCGTGATGGGGGAAAAGGGTAAGAAAAAATTGCAGGAAATGTGCGGACGGCGGCTGAGAACGAAATTTGTGGCGAAGGCAGGGCTGGGGGTGTCAGGCGGAGGGAACAGCGGCTCTTATGGTGGCGGTGGAGAGTTTGATAGGTGGTGGCGACTGCGATTGGGATGTGGTTGGTTCTTCGGGAGAAATTTTCCGGCGAGATGGTGGATTAGAAACAGGGGGACTGAGTATGATTGCGAGGTGTTCCGGCGGGGTCAGGGATGATGATTGCGGCGGCGTCTCGGCGATTGTGGCGGCGCGCTGGTGGTCCGGCCATGTGCAATCTGTGAACGGTGTGTGTGTGTGTTCATCACTGTGGGTGAAAGAGATGGAGGTGAGGTGGTGGTGGTGGGTCCCACGGTGGATTTGTGACAAATGTGGGTGGTGGTGGCCAGTGATTAGGATTTATTGTTAATGACCAAAATATTTTTAATGAGTGTTGATTTACCAAATTATCCTTAATGAGTTTGACTTTTTTTAATGAGTGTTGATTTACCAAATTATCCTTAATGAGTTTACTTTAATTACTAACCTTGACTTTGCTAGATTTAAAAGCTTATCTTTATTCTTATTTTTTTCATTATGATTCATTCTCTTTTGAGCGCACTTCTATATATAAATATATATAGATTTAGTTTATTTTAAAAAGTTACTATTTTATGTATGTACTAATGCTACTTAAAATTTTTCGTATGCTATTTGTGTTGAATACTATTATATTTTGAGAAAATTACTCCCTACACCATAAATTTTAATTTTTATTATATAGATATAATTTTTATTATATAAATATAATATAGATTATACTTTATTACACAACGATTTCATATTTTTAATAGACACAATTATGAGGTGGATATTTTGTATAATTTCGCCAATTAGTTAATGGATAGTTGTTGCCTATTGTTTTCGCATTTTTTGGCATGCCGTGCTTCTGGATATTTTATTAATTCACAAAAGTTGCCAGATAAATTTGTTAATTATTGGGCAAGTTTAGCAATTTTGACTAAATTAAAAGGATCTCAAACAAACAAGATTAACTTGGAGAAGGAATGTATACACCCAAATTTTCATATACTCTTTTTTATCACTTTCAAGTATTATCATTATTTGAAAATGTTTTTCAACTTTCAGTACATACTTTTTTTATTTGATTAGTTGAAAATACTAACGCAAAATATTAAATAAACCATATATATTTTTTTTTTAAAAAAAAAACACGATTTAAAATATATATAATAGTTATACAAAATTACCAAAGCTGGATATAATCTTAAGACCAGAATAAATCCTCTGATGATACCTTTTGTCCTAATGAGGAGACCAGTCAGCTCCATAAAAAACATAACCCATTTTTTTCTCCCAGCTCACTCATTTTTGCTACACAATGAAAATGTACAGCATAATACCATGCTTTCCACCTTTCCTAAGCTTTCTTTGAACTCATAATGCCTTCTTTTTAACATGGTAGGGGTATTTTTGGTAGATCGATATGCTTGTGACGACTAATGGGAAAGCCACAAGGCAGTATGGAGAGGGCGGTTTACCGTCAAAGATGAATTGGAGCAGGGCCGTCACCAGAAGGGCAGAAACAATAACAAATCCCTGTAAAGCCATAAGGAATTTAGAATAAAATATAGCACCCAAATAATACAAAATTTGAAAAAATGTTAGTTACAATTATTATAGTTCAATTTTTTAAAAGGAAATTAATACACTCCATTTATTAGTTTTTAAAATTACGTTTTCTACACAATCACAGTTCTGTTTTACGATATTCCCCTATCGGCCGAGCAATTTAAAAAATAACATTCTGTAAGCACCTCAGGGTTAAGCAACATTGCATATTAATACATCATCTTTCATGTTTTTGCAATTTAATCACCACCTTTACAATTTTGAAAATTAATACACCACTTTTACCATTTTTGCAAATCGATACATGAATGACAGTTCCATTAACGAAAATCTGACATGGCATTGAGCCACGTCAATGTCATGTCAGATTTTCGTTAGATTTTTTTAACGGAACCGTCATTTATGTATCGATTTGCGAAAATGGTAAAGGTGGTGTATTAATTTGCAAAATTGTAAATGTTGTGATTAAATTACAAAAACATGGAAGGTGGTGCATTAATATGCAATTTTGCCTCAGGTACTAACAAGTTCTTTAGTCAGGGCATTATCATAAATATCACAGCAACTAAAACTGAGTTGATGGCCACTGAATTTCCAAAGCCATTATCAAGAAGTTTACCAAACCCTGGGATTTTTCAAAATGGGAATCTAGTGCTCTGTCTCGTTAAACTAACGCAGTGTGCTACTTAGAAAATCAAGAAATCTAGTATGATTTATCTACAATAGAAAGATATCAAATCCTGTAGGTTTCTAGCAAAACATGGCTTAATCATTTGTACAAACCTATCACTATCAATTTGGAAAAGGTCTAAAACCCACCTTTCGAACACCACCAGCATACGATGTCACAAGCCCAACAAGAATTCCACCAACAGCATTGAGTATGACAGGAATCTGCAACAGAGTCGTGAATCTCAAAATTATATACTATCCCAACAACATTCAAATGCCACGCATTCAGTATGAACTTCCAAAATAGAGACAATTTGTTACTTCATAGTTCATGATATATTAAATTTCCCAAATTCAAGCACATTTTTGTTGCAAAGTCAACGACTATCCCAAGTAGACTTATCGTGATTTAGAAACAATGTGTTTCGGTTATAAGATATTTACCCATGTCAAAGGAGTCCAGCCATAAAAGAAGCCATGCCTTTGGATAGCCAAACCATCAGGAGACTTGTACGCACTCGCTAGCATGCAAAGACTCCCAATTATAGACATCTCCACAGTCATCAAGTATGAGGTATGTTTCTTAACCTGCATTTAAATAAACATAAAAACAAGCCCGGGTGATCAAATTTCCATCAGAAAATTGAAACTTTGAAAACCAATTGGAAAATGTGAAGAGAATTTTTTATTACCTGGGATGCCCACTGACACAAAGCAGAGGCCAGGCCAGAGAGCAAGGAAGCCACTAGGATAGGGACAATTCCATAGAACAAAACTTCATCAGGATTACGAGAGCTTGATGCTTTACTGGTACCTTCACCAATGCTTAGAAGAATAGCGGCTATTATCAACAAAAATAGAGCCCCAATCTGTTGAATGGACTGTCTTTGCCTGTTTACAGTTACCGAAGGAGGAGGCATATGAGAAGTCCCGTTAATCTAATTGAAAAATGAGGTGTTTATGAAAATTTTTGGAATTTTTCAGCTGTACTACTGAAACTACAAATAATAAATTAGCCAAAACCTAAGGAGAGTTTGGAGGATATCTGGGTTTTATTAAATTAGGCAGAAACCTAAGGGGTTTGACTGAAATTAACCCATGGAAAAAGATACTAATAACAAGAAAGAAATAAAGGCAGGCGTTCAATTTTAACCACTGATATTTTGCAGCTTTGCATCAAAAGATGGATACAACGATATTTAGTTTCAAATAGTAAGTTCGAAATTGAGAACATGTGTAAAGGGAATGCAGTTCAAGTTGCTACAGCATATTGTTGCAAATAAAAAGTTCAAAAGCACACATGTTCTTTCCTTTCAACCTGATATCATGCAGCATTATTACTAACGTGCACACTTCCGAAAAAGAAATCCAAGTGAGATATACCTTAATATGATATAAGTAAACAAGGCTGTGAAAAATAGTTTTGTCTGGTTCAGCATTGAGAACGTGAGCGAATCAAGATTTCTATATGAGATTTGCAACAAGCTGTTTTGAAGTGCGTATATGGCTGCCGGCAACCCGGATGCAGTCAAAGAGCCAATCAAAGTCCACTCTTTGTATAGCTTTCTCAAACTTCCATCTCTAGCCAAGAGCAGCAGAGCACAAATCACCTAACATAGTTGATAGTTCCAATAACTTAAGTATATATAAACCACAACTTGCGGAAAGAATATAGGAGAAGGGGAAAGACAAGAGTTACCTTTACCCCCTCACAAGCCAGAACAGATGAAGTTACAATAACTTCCCGTCTGTATCAAGAAGAAAAATACAAAAGTTCTGTGACTTGAGAAAGAAAGACCATTCTACAGGTAATTAGAACTTCACTGCAGTTCAGAGGTGAGAAACCACATAGGACGAACAATAAATAAAAACAAGGATTTGTAAAAGCATATATGTAATTGGCTGAAATATGGAATTCACATGTCCCTTCAAATCCAAGATATGTAATTGAATGACCAAAAAAGTTTAATTTTAGGGAACACAGTGTCGGGCCATCTCAACAAACAAATCATATTATCATGGATAAAAAATTGTACTGCCTCCACAGATGTGGAATTTCTATGAGACTTGATTTAGGTACATAGATTGCATAAGTAGCAATCAGTGAGTCAAAAATAACTATGCCAGGGCAAGTTTGGGTATGAAGAATTATATCACCAGATCAACTGCTTGCCAGTGAATTAAATATCACCAGATCAACTGCTTGCCAGCTGAAATCATCCATAACAATGACTAACTTCCACGAATTAGCTTCTTTATTTCGTAAGAAGAATAAATTAAACTTTTTGTAGTTTTTACAGAAGAATTTTGGTTCTGGTGGCCAGCCCATAATAAGATGTAGAGCACTTTGTTCCACAAACAATAACTTGTACATTCAGAGATAGAAATAGCATAACTTTGCAGTTTCATTTGCAAACAATGACCTCTTACGCCTCCAGTCTCCATTTTAATTTGCTCTTCAAGCGAAGAAAAAAAAGGGATCATTCTTTTTCCAAAATAATACCAATTTCACTATATCAAAGCAAATAATTTCCTCTAAAAGGTAGTTAGGTACGCACCACTAGAACAATGCAAGCCAACCATCAATTGAAGAAGGCAAGAACATCTGATTACCAACTATACACAATTAAAAACTAAAACCAAAGTAGTTTGCAAATTAGTATCCGTTGACTTGAAACAGTAAGCTAAAAAGGAGAAAACAAAAACAAAAATTACAGTGAAAAACGAAGAAAAATAACAACCTGGTGAAGCGTTTAGATATGAGAGGTTGAGCACCGTACTGGAGCGTCAACAGCAAAGAAAAAAGCCACACCTTTGTTCCTGAATTCCGATCCGGGCTGATCGAGACGGGTTTGGAATGTCTGGGCCTCTCGACCGCCATTGGTTTGGCGATCGGAGATTTTGAGCACTAAGAGCGTAACAAAACAAAGATGGTATGTTGGCCTTTGATTGTGCTTTTCTTTCCCGTCGGGGGTCCATGAAAAGGAATAATAAGAATAACAATAAAAAAAAAAAAAGGAAGAAAGAAAAACGATGAATTCCTAAGTGTATCTCCAATAGTTTTTGGATCGCTTCATTTTATTGTCACGTGACACAAAAAAATCCTATATGACTTAAAAAAATTCTAGAAGTCTTTCTAATAGAATTACTTCTGGACAACTTTTATTATTTATTATATTATTTAATTTAATTTTTTTTTCAACCAACTATAATTTTACACATGTCAAATTAAATCATCTTTAACATTAACCATTGGAGACACAATTTCTTAATCTCCGTCTTTTATCCATGCAATCCAAAATGGACAAGATAACATTGGAGATATTCTAATGGTCGATCGTTTGTGGGTTCTACAGGACAATATTTTAATCCTTTCTTTGATTTTTCTTTTTTTATACTCAATTTCATGCTATCGGTCTGGGCCCTTGTAGCTTCTCTCGGCTACTTCGAGAGTTAAACTGCGAGATGTGTCTTGCTGCCAGTCGTACCGATCCCTTTTATACCCTAGCGCTTTAGAAGGTCTAACGCCACAAACATGATTATCTGACTGTCTCATTTCTTCCAAAGGAATGGCAATGTGTCATGCTACCAGTCGTACCACCCACTTCATACCCTAGCACCACAAAAGGTCCAACTTCACAGAGGTGATTACAGTCTGTCTCATTTTCTCCAAAGGAGTATAGGGAATTTTATCGGGAAAATGAAAATAAGATGGCTATTTAATATAACACCGAAGCCTGTGAGAACACAATGTCCTTAAAACATATTCTCCTCGTATGAGCGTCTGTTTCTCGAGATACAACTGAAAAACCGAATCGAATTCGACGAACTGGAATTATGTCTGGACCAAAAATAGTATAAAGTAAAATTAGGGAATAAGCTTTTAGTAATATTGTCTTTTCTTTCTTGATTTTGTGTGCGTTCGTAAAACTCAACCAAAGCCTATATTTATATGGCCTTGAGGATGAATGGTGCAACATAAGCATTAACTCCCAACAGTTAAAGAAATGGAGTTAACATCTTGCAACATTTAAAACATAACATCTTACTACATTAAAGAATAAGTTACAAATTAAATTTGCAAGATGAAAGTTAATGTTATGTTTTGTTTCATTCAATTTTTTTTTCCCCAAAGGGGGAACGCCACAAAGGTGATTATCAGTCTGTCACATTTTCTCCAAAGGAGGAAAAAGTTGTTGAGGATTCCCTCCCTCTAGGATTCGATCCTGTACGCAGAGCATTCGGGTCCAGCATGGGTGGTCGTGCTACCAACAAGCTATACCCGGGGTGCCTCTTTATTTGATTTTGATTTTGTCTTTGATTGTGTCAGTTAGACCCTCGTTTTTTTTTTTTTTTTTTTTTTTTTCTCTCAACTGACCTCCTCTTCAGTCGAGAGCTCCGTTCCAACAAGGGGCTAATGGGAATCGGGGCGTCCTCTGCCTCTCTATCTCATCTCGATTTCTTTTCCTTGAGCATCGCTTCATCCAACATCAGATGGTTGCAGCAGGGAAGTCCGGTGACTTTGCGGCATGGAGGGGGATGCCGGCGTCGTTCGGTGCTGGTGGTGGACGAAACTTGGGCCGGCGCATCTCCTTCCATTGTATCATGTTCGGTTTCCCTGGGGTTGGGCTCCGGTGGGGGACTTGGCAATCTTTGGCGTGTTAATTCGAGGCAGTCAAGGTCGTGTTGGGGGAAGGGTGAAGGGCGGGCCTCCGGGTAGTCTTTCGGTGGGGATCCTTAGGAGAGTGGGACTTGGTGTGGGTGTTGGCGGATGTAGTTAGTTAACTCCTTGGAGAAGGGAGTTTCGAAATCAGCTTCTCGGGTTGTGGTCTTGCTTTTCTTGGGTTTGTTGTGAATCAATGGAAGACTTTTCTATGTGTAAGGAATTCACCGGTGGAGGAAGGATTTATTGAAGCTATTGTTTGTTTTGTTGTTAAGTTTTGTGTGTTGTTTTGTGAGTGTGTGTTTGTTGTGGTGCTTTTTTACTCTCCTCTCTAGGAATGTGTATTCTCCACTAGTGGGAGTGTGTGTGTGTGTGTTTGTGTGTATGTGTGTGTGTGTTTTTTTTTTAGTTTTTGGTATGTTTTGTATGTGTTTGTGTAGTGGAATTTAGGCTACCTTAGAGTAGGCCTCCAATCTGAATTCAGCTGTGTAGCTGGTTCTTTGGCTAGTTAGTCGCTTGTAATTATGTGTTTTTACTAATGAAAATCTATCATTCGAAAAAAAAAAAATAGAATTTGATCCTCAGCTACAAACGATTCTATTATTGGGATATTGACTCGACATATTTAGCGACTATCAATTTCGTCTTTTATTTAACACTCACTAGTACATAGCCCATGCGAGGCACGGAGAAATAATAATAGCTCATATAAATTAAAGTAATTACGGAATATCGATTAGTGTAAAAACCGTTTTTAATATTAATGTTAATTTTATATTTTCTATGATATATAATAGTTTAACAAATGTGTATTGCACCCGTTATAAATAGTTATCATTTTAGAGTCACAGTTTATAATTAGTAAAACATGAAAAACTAACATATTTAAAAATTATCAATAAATAAACAAAAACACTTCCCTCTTTCTCCCCTAACTCATACATTTTTACAATATTATTAATTCAATTTCTAAATAAGTGATGGTAAAGTTGAAAAATTGTGACAAATATTATAAACTGGCACTTAATTTAAAAATAATGTAGTGCATATTATTTTAAAGTCATAAATTTACTAATTTTTTATGATGTTACGGTTATTATTTTTTGATAATTTATAATAATGTATATTATAAATATTTTAACTTTTCTAATTTAATAATTCGCATAACAATTCAACATCGGTTGATTAATATAATAATTTCTTACAATATATATATATATTATTAATATTTTTTTTTCTAAGGTAGCAAATTACATTTTTTGTTGGACAGTTGACTTGTTGGTTATCATTATAATTTATAACAATATATATTATAATTTATTTTAAGTTAATAATTTACATGGATTGTTGGACACATGATCTGCTAGTTTGTCATCGTAATTTATAACAATATATATCATAAATATTTTAATTTTTTCTTTCTAATCTTATAAATTACATGACAGTTTGACGGATTACTAGTTGGTTTATCACAATTCATCACAATGCATGTCATAAATATTTTGATTTATTTATAATCTAACTATTTACATGACAGTTCGACGAATGGCTCGTTAGTTTATCATTTTAATATCGATTATACTTGATCCTCGATATAATATTTATTAATATTTTTATACTTTTTTAACATAAATTTTAAACCCATGAGGGATAATTACTATTTTATATTATATTATACTAAATACCTTTTATTATGTATACATTTATATTTTATTGTATGAATAACTTGAGAGTAATTCCTTGTTTTAAAATTAGTATTAGCTAGTAAATTTAAGTTCATTTTATGTGTTCAATTAGGTAATAAACTTAATATTACTTTAAAAATAATTATATTTATTTATACATACAATATGAGTGTCAAATCGAAGATCAAAACAACTAATCATTATAATCAAACAATTCGAACATGTATGAACACCACATATTCAACACAATTTTAAGACAAGAAGAAATCCCTAGACCTAGATGGATGAGTTAGCTCATGCTCAAATTGAATTCCACGTTAATCGAAATTGAGAACTTGCATCAATCAACAATAGTAATAGATTAACGAATACTTACAGTAATGGGAGAGATCACAAGTGTTCGTTCTCCAAGTGTTCAATTCTAACAATTCGAGCATGAGTAAAAGAAAAAATGGAGAAAACCCGTAAGAAAACTATTTACAAGAGGTTTTTGGTGTTCGAGAGCATTCGAACCGGTCCCAGGTATGTTTTTGGTGTTTTCAACGATTATTTGAACCGGTCCCCGATATGTTTTTTGGTGTTCCTTTTTGTTTGGTGGTTTCTCATGAGTCCTCATTTAAACAAGTTCAAAACGAGGTCCCTGTTTGATCTGAACACAAATATAGTTTTCTCTTTTTTTTTATATGTAATGTTTACTACAATACTTTGTAGAAAAAACAATCCAGCTTGAGCATCCAAAGATGTGGTAGATGACTGACCTTATCAATGTCTTTCCAAAGGAGATAAGTGTTATCCAAGGTCAATTTATTTATACTTTCTTCCAGAAATTGGGGAAAAATATGGCAAACGGCGACTTTAGGTTAAACAACACTGGGGGTGGGCCCCAGCATAGAGACTTCGACGCTCAAGTTAGAAATCATATTGCCAAAATATTGTTATTCAGAATGTAAATCTAGAAAGTGAAACTGGATCCCTCATTTATAAATAATTTAATGACTTATTTTCCAAAATAAGGGGTTTCCTTAACCACAAAAGTATCAAACTCTCAGTTATCAAGGAGTTAATACACACGAATCCACTTGGATATTTCTTAGATTATTTTATAAATCTTCATAGATAATCAATATTAACTATTTAATTTATATAATTTAATAATATCATATACAGTTTCGAAAAACAAGCGGGAAACAAGTTTTGGCATTAAATAGGTTGCCCCTCCTTATATATGTATTTATACATGAATTCGATCAAATGAGTCTCAAATTTTAAAACAAAAATGTGAGAACCAATTCTAGTCATTAAGTAGGTATAAGATGTGTGGCCATAATTTTTTAATTATTTTAATAATTAATTGATTGGCGGTGTTGACCATGGCATTGACTGTTGACCGACTATTGGCAGCCGACAAGAGATTCAAATTATGTATTATGTATGAACTAAATATTCATTTGGTCGACGAGAGCTTCAAAATATGCAATTAATACCAACTAATCATTAATTTATGTATGACTAAATATGCACTATGTATCAACTAAATGTGCAATATTGAAGCTGACAATGCTACCGCTACTGGTCAACACTGGTCAACACCGTTAGCTGCCAGTTAACGTCAGTCAATTGAGTTTATATTATATAACTAAGTTTAACATGATTATTATTATGAATCTTTTTTCTTTTCCA